AGGCTGGTTGCAATATTGTAATTTGTCAGGAGCCTAAGAACCTCGATCTGTGAAAATTTGAAAAAGTAACTCTTTGTTCGAAAAACAATTTTTGATTTAATTTCTTCCGTTTCCATTCGATTGTCTTGAAAACTTTTTATAGATCATATTTTAAAATTCTGTAACACGAAACCTATTACAATTTGAATCAACCTTATTCTTACCTTAAATGAGGAGATTTAATTTTTCTTAGCATGTAAATCTCTTATAGACGTTTTAATATTAAAGGCAAAACTTAACATTAAATGAAAAAAATTCCTTTTGAAGTTTTATTGTAACAAATTAGCTCTTAATTATAAAAAATTTTTAACAAGTTCACAAGTTTTTGTGCATAAAAATTTGGCTACACATAATGGCTGTTTTCTATTTTCCTCTGGGGCGTTTTGTTAATTAAAACATTTTAAAAAGATTTATGACTTTTATATAACTTTCATTTAATCAAATTGAATATTAGAGCAAATTTAATTGTAAATGACTTAATTAGTTTGAGTCTTGGAATTTAAAATGCAAGAAGAAAATTTTTATATGAGATCACTGAAAAAAATTGAGATCATTTTTAATATAAAAATTTGCGCATTGCAATAAAATTCATAATTCTAAATTAAATTAAAAGCCATCATTAAAAAAAATATTTTGATTAAGGTAAGGTAAAAATGTTAATTAAAGTGATCTGTTAATTAAACGGATGGATCGAATTTTAAAAAGCTGTAAATCATCATTGTTCTTATTTTCGATTGACGACACCATGTCATTAGTCGTTTTCTCGAATGATTTGTTGGTTATATCAGATAGTGCCGGTAAGATGTATACTGCACCAAGATTTCGTTTTAGCTAAATATTTTTTTCTTTTTGTTAACATTGAATTGACGTTTTTGTTAAAATTGAATTGAACGGTTTGTTTTCATTTTGTCTTAAATGAATCCAAACATTTTGCGGTTAAACCCGAGTAATTGTTATTAAGGCTGTTTAACGATGACTCGAACTCGTCAATAAAACTTCTAAGTATTGAATGCAGATATAGACAATTCCCACAGACACAGTACTGCACTACGAATGGTGAGGAAATATATAAATTTTAATATTCTTCATACAAATGTTGGGAGTATTTACATAGACTTCAATTGTCAAACTATGAAGAACTGTTAGAATTTTTTTAATTCGGCAATACATTTGATTGAGGACTTAAAAACTGATTCATTCTAAATACAGAATAACTTAAAAATTGATTCTAAATTTAAATTTATGCTACATTCATATATGGCATTAATACAATTCTAAGAGTAAACAAATTTAAGTCTCTTATTATTTAGAATATTGAAAACTTAAAAGAACAATAACAAATTAATAAATGACATCATTGCATATGTGTGATTTATGATAAACCGCAAAATGTCATATTTCATTTAATAAAATTTATTATAAGTTTTATTTTTATAATTAGAAATTTTTTTGTATTTTTTAATAATTAAAAATTACCACACCTTCAAATGCAACTTTTTTTTTCTCCTAACTTGTCACCAAAAGTTGAACAAAATTTTGTTTTAGAACAGGTCTTTTTAATTTTTATAGTAACACAAATACTTTATGTAATATGATTGTAATTAATTTCAGGAAATATTGTGAATTATTTAAATATTTAAATTAAATAGTTAAAAAATAATTTAAATAGCAGATTCAGTACTTATTACTACTTAGATCACATAATTGTAAACGTTAATATTGTATTGCTTGTTTTTATTTTCACATATTTAAAATATAGATTTTACGGTAGATATTTCGTGTTCGATACAACTACGTTTATAGGAAGAGCTAGGTATGACCTGCAGCAAAAATGTCTTGCCGTGTATACGCAATGTGTCTCATACAATATATCAAACTATATTATGGTGAACGTAGTGCTATGTAGATGTCTTCTTCATGCGAACGCTGTATTTTTGTTCAAAAATTCAAATAACATTAAACTTCACAGTCTTTAAAAAAACTCTGACCATCTAATACGATTTATGCCCCCCAACACAATTAATTCTGTTAAATACAGACAGTTCTGAAAAATGTCATTTTTATCATTTTTCTTGCCTGTACAAGTTATAATTGCAACGTTATTCAAATTAAAATGCAATTTTCTTCCAAGTTTTACAATTTTTTTCTTCGTACTTATGCAATAAATTAAAGCAGTAATAAATTAACTAAAAAAGTACTAAAAGAGCTTTAAAACAAATGTAAGTAGTGAGAAATATTTTAATTTATTTACAACTTAGCTGTAAGGTAAAGAAATAACTTTTTAAATAAATTTGCAAATTCTGAATTTGAAGATTGTAAAAAACGAATAAATTAAAAAATAATTTCGAATAAAAAAATAGAATTTCATCAGTAGTTTTCACTCAAAACAAAGTCTTAGGCTGTTTTCAATTCTCATTACTTGTGCGTTTCATTGCAAATGCACGACAGTGAGGAAATTTGTGTAAAATATTCTCTTGAATAACAAACTGAACACTCATTTACAATTATTTTAATTTATTACTTTTACAATTACTCAATTTACAAAATTGTCATACTAATTCTAAATACATATATCTATTCAAATAAGCAAGTATTATTAAAAATCTATGATATTATGTAATAAATTATGAAAACGCTGTTATACCCAAAAAAAATATTTAATAAATTTCATTTCCTTCTATGTACATACATATAGGAAATTCTAATTATCAACATTTATTAAAAAAAATGTAGTTGTACAAATTTGAACGAAAAAAAGCGACACAATATCTATAGCTAACAATTATGTCATATTTGATGATAGAACCGAAAATTATCTTTAATCGTTCCTAAATTTAATATCGTGCGAATTTTTTTCATTCACAATAATTAAGTTCCGCGCGTTTGCACTTCTAACACACACAAAAAAAAAACACTGAAAAAAAATTGACCTGTTGGAATTTTTTGCAAAAATAAAATTAAAGATCGTTGTTGATTTGGTCAGCGTAGTGGGACATACAAAATTACATTCTTTTGTATATTCTTAAGATGTTATGTCATGATTTTTTTGACAAATAAATTGGGTTACTTTTCATATTATTCGAAAAGAAGTGGATCGTTTAAAAAAACTTACGTCTGATTTAAAAAGTGACGTTGGCGGCATGGCATGTTCATCATATTTGTAAAGCAACCATTTTTCTGTTTCTCAGTACATGTATGTAGCTCTAAACCACAATAATCTACGTAATATTGAAACAATTCTCTTGTCACTCATTCAATATTGCATAAATTTAGGAGTAACATTTAAAATAAAAATTTTCAAAAAACTAAAGTACCAGTATGAATATTGAATTATGTAATTGCATTGCTAATCAACTAAGTTGAGGCATTACAAACTACTTTGGCTTTCATAAAAGTTTGATGGAAATAATGTCGAAGTAATAGGGAACTGAAAATTGAAATTTAAGTTGGCTACTACCTCCAGTTTTAAAGTCGCATTATCATATCATTCAAGTGTAACAAATGTGCAGTAAAATTTAATTTTAAGGGAAAAATTTTTAGAAGAATTTACGGATACACATTCGTGATCAATATGTCAAGTCCGGATTTGTTAAGAACGTCCTCCATTTTCGGCACAGTTATAATGAAGAAGTATTATACCTGCATTGTAATATTTACTTGGACTGTGTCACGTTTAATCCATTGCAAATACAATGCAAATACAATTTTATATGTAGTTCAATTTCTTTGCGACGCAATTCATTTTTTTTCTCTTTCTTTATTCAAAAATTGTATGTTCCTTTAATATAGTGGAAAAAACATGATTTGAGTAAATGTTATAGTTGTTGTTCTACTATCATATGAACTATATGTAGGAATAATATACTTGTATGTAGGTAAAAATCATAAACATTAAGAAGTAATACGATGCGATGCGGCTTAGCGGCTATCATTACTTTTATTATTATTATTGTATTGTGTCTGATATTTTTTTATTTTTTTTCTTGGTTCCTCGTTCGCTCGCTCCTTACTTACTACATTTTGTATTTGGTTATTTTTTCTGTTTTTTTTTTTTTTATTTGCTCGTTTGATCTTTTGCTTTACTACCTTTTAAATTTTTATTTAACTACCTATGTACATATATATGTATGTATAGTTAGGTATGCATATATGCGTACATACAAATATTATAATTCTATGTGCATAATTCAAGATTCATATAGATTTTTTTCGTATAACATGTAAAGTTTTATTCATTTTTATCTTTTTTTATGTATTGTTGCTGTTGTTAATTCATTCGTTCATTCGTTTTGTTGATTCGTTATTCATGTTCTGCTTGCTAATATATTCTGCTGTTGTGCTATTGCTATGATGGTGTTGTTCACTCGTCGATTTTGGGTTGTTTTTTTTTTATTTTCTTTTCATTTTTTTGTTTTTTCTGTAAAGTAAATGAAAATATGGGTAGAAAAAGTAGACAATAATAATATAAAAGTCTACATAATATGAAAAAAAAAGACGTAAAGTAAGTAGTAAACCAAAAGAAAGATAAAAATGAAGAAAAAAGAAACAGAAACGGAAAAAAAGTTAAAAAAGTTTGACTCATTCAACTTGTATAGTGTAGAGGGTTTCACCTCACCACCGTTATAATAGAGTCAGTCAGAATTTGGTGCTCGATCAAAGCGATCGCGTTTCAAGATCACTCTATAATTTATTTATTTTGTTTTGTTGCTCAAAAGAATTTATAAATCAAAATAAACTTTTAACTGGCTTTTCATTTCGCAAAAATTTAAAAAAAAAGTAAATAAAAGAGAAAACAACTAACATTCAAAAAATCGATTTTTAAAATCAATTCGATAAGAAAAAACTCGAAATTTACTGCAAAATAATCGAAGTTGTTGAAATATGCTAATTAAAACTAAAAAAAAATAATAAAAGATAATAAAAAATTATGATCTTTGAAAAGAAATAAAAAACACTTACTTACGCTTATACTGAAGACAATTTTTCACTTTCGCTTTTCTTTAAAAGTTTTCTTATAATTTTGCTTTTTTATCATAAACTTTTAAAAATTTTTGCATTCCCAAAAAGTTCTTTATTGCTAAAATTAAAAAAAAAGCGTTGCATTAATTGGATTGACTCCAAATTTATTTTTGTTTAAAAAAGTGGACAATTTGTTGTTGTGTTAGACTTCGAAAAAATAGTGATTCCGAGTGAAAAAAAAAACGCGGAAATGCAAAATTTCATAAAATTACAATAAGCATATAAAAACAGAAGAAAAAAAAAGTAAGAAAAAAAAAATAATAAATTTGCTGTGTTTTTAAAAAAGTGTCAAAAATAAATTTCTGTACTATCAGATAGAGGTCGCGGTGCTCTACTTTTTTTTATGGTTATTTTTTGTTGTGCGAGTTTTTGGACTGAAAACTTAAATTGTTTGTAAATTGTATTTGAAGTTTTTTTTTAGATTTTTGCAAAAAAAAAATTGAAAAAGTTAGTGTTAAAGAAATAATGAAATAAAACCGGTTTTTTCATTCGAAATTGTCAATTTTTTAATAGAGTATTAAATTGTGAGCATTTTTGCATATATTTTTTTTGTAAAGTTGTCAGTGCCTTAAAAATTTTTAATATTTTATTGCAATCATTTTAAATTTTCCTCTTTTTTTATTATTTTTTTAATTTTGAATTTTGTTTGTTTATTTGTTGAGCGCCTCCTATAAGTGCATCAACTTTTTGATTGTGGTGCGATTGCACACGGTTTAGTTTTTACATAATTCTTTTCTTCCTTTTAGTTTTTTTTTTTTATTTTTAATTTTTTTTTTGTATTTTGTAGGAAAGGGTATCATATTTTGCCTTTTTATATAGAAAGGTTAATGTTGTTACAGATGAGTCATACTTAAAGGTATTTTCATCTCGTGTGCATTCTTATCTTGTTGAATGTTGAAAATTCAAATCCGAAAATAAGAAAAAAAAATTGAGAATAATAGTTTAAAAGAAGAATTTTTTTTATTTTATTCAGTGAACGTTTCTTTTGGAAGTGAACGTTTTTTTTTTTCATAATATTACTGAGTTTATTTATTTAGTGTTATTTATGTAATAATATATACACTGACATAATTAATTTAAAAAAATTTTTGATTTCGTGTTCCTGAGGAGTTTTTATCTGAAACCGGTAAGTTTTTTATGAGATTTTTTTATTTATTTTCTGTGTTTTCAAAGAGATGAATAACTTGACAGTAATTTTTGAATATCGGTAGAATGAAAAAAATCTGCGACTGCTTAGTATACGATTGCAATAAATGCTGTCTTTAGGCAGGTCTTTATAGTCATTAAATATTAGAATGAAGAACTGAATTAAGTGCTGAATTAAGTCATATTCTCTGTGTCTATGTTTGCAATAAATGCTGTATTATTACACTATTCAGATTAAAGATTGTAATTGCTGAATTATGTATTTATATGGTATGTTCATAATAGTTATTTATGTCATAATAGTTATTTATGTCATAATAGTTATTCCGTACATATGTGCTTACGGAATAACTATGTATTACGCTTATATTCTGCAAGTGTAATTTCAAGATTGCACTAATACTTTATTCAATTCAGTGATTACAATTCTTTCAAATTGAATTGTGGATCGCTGCAATTGTGAACATTTGTGGTGCAAAATTTTAATAGCTTGTGCTAGATACATATTTGTACTTTTGTTCTATAATTTTGCAATTGTTCTTTGATTATATTTTAATTTCATATGTTTTAATTGTGCTTGTCTTTTATAAACAAAATACGGTAAACTGTGCTGCATAGAATCTTACTATAATGCTAATGAAACAAAATATGAATTCCAAAAACTATTTATGTTCGTGCCTTCTCTCTTGAGAGGTTTAAATATAATTATGTTATTGTTCTGTGATAATAGTAAAAAGATAAGTTATAAGAATTAAAGGTAAAAGGACGATGACAACTCCAATATTTGTTATGGTTGATATGGTACAAAGCATATTTAAAGTAGATAAAATTTTTTATTTAAATAAAATTTAATCGGCTCTGTTTGAATTTTTGGATATCGGTTCCTTTTTTGATGTTATTACTTTTCTTCTTTTTCTTTTCAACATGTCTTACGTTGGTTTAACAGGTTTTGATATATTCGTGATTCTATTTTGTTTTATGGTTCTTTCTTATTAAAATTGTTAAAGATATTTTGAAATAAATTTATATTTTAAGTATAATAAAGGTCGTGATTCTTCTGTCGGAATTTTGAGTGGAACTAAAACTCTGAAAATTTTAATTAAAATTATTTATAAAATTAATACTTTTTATAGCCATCAACATATTTTACATTACCCAAATGTGTCAACAAGTGTAAATAAGCTTAAAATTCGTAAAACCTGATTTTAGGGAAATTATAGTCTATTTTCAAAACAAAAAATTTAAATTCGTCATATACGACAAAGTAACACAAAAATATCTCAAAAACTGTATTAGGTGAACACCATGGAAATGGACAGTTGGATAGAGCTTCAAAAATTAGGAACAATGGCAATTCCAGTTCTATTCTCATCATTAAAATATAAATATTGACGATTCTTCATCGGGGCTTTTTTAATAATATTTAGTAGTTCAATTTATTTGAAAATTATGTAAGATTAAGAAAATGAATTCATCAAAAAAATTTTTAACCAAATAAATATTAATGTAAACAAAGTTTTGATGACTCAGAAATCATAAAAGAAATCAAAAATTCATTTTTTTTTCGATATTCTTGCAGAATTAAGCATCACATTTCATATCAGACCGTAATTCAAAAATATTTCAAAGTTATGAGAAGCTAAAAAATTGTGATTCATTCAGTTCTAAATGCGATTCTAATTATTAACTACGTATTAATGCAAATCTCTACACACAAACAATAGTAATAAAATTTTAAGTGGATCAAAAAGTCATGGAATTTTTGACGTACGTGTGCATTACTTTGTACGTTTCTTTGTTTTGTTACACGATTTAATTAGGCAGAAGTGTTCAAATTCTGGTTTTGCGTTTTTGTTTTGTATCTAACTATTTATATTAAGATTGTTGGATACAAAAATCCTGTAATAAAGACATTCTGACCTATTAATTGTAAAAAATTTCTAAGAATATGCTGCTAAGCTATCAACTAGTATAAAATTGTGCTTCTCAGGCAACTCATATAATAACTAGTTCATTCGAATGTTACAAAACTGACACACTAAACTCTAAACATTCTTGTCAAATTCAAATTTTGAAAATTTAAAAAATTTTCTTTGGTTTCCAAATCTAAATAAATGCAAAAACATTAAATTCATATTACTCATGCAATTAATTTATTATCGCCTGGTCATTCTTCTATAAATCTATAAGTATGTATTTGTTCGAAACACTGACTAAACAAAAATTTCGAATTTTGATTTCTAAATTTAAATGCCACACATTCTTAGTACTTTTTATTTTTATGAATTATGAAACCAAACACGTTCTCACAATAGAATTTTAATAGTTTTTTGTTATTGTAAATAAGTGAGTATTTAAATGAATGAGTTTAGAATTAAATAGGTTTAATGTATTTTTTCATATTTTATTTATACTTATATGTTTGTACACGGTGTGTAACCAAAATGTTATGTATATATTAGACGTTTTCCCTTTTTACATCAGGCAGATGCAGGAATGTTAAAAAAATCCGTGTTCGTTTTTATCTCGGAGAATTTCGAATTAGAAATTCGTGCTAATTTTTACGACCAAAGAACGCTCAACGTGCACTTACCCTTAACTTAGAAACGAAAAGTCTTATTGTGTGAAATATTTGAAATTCAATAGATTCGAAATTTTCAATCCCTCTATGTTAGATGAAGATATTTCACTTTTCTTCGATATGAACTACCATTTGATTCGGATTTGTTTCGGATTGTTGAGGAATTTTTTGAAATATTGTTTATTTGTATGTATAATGACCCCTGCTTCCATTTCACTCCGAGTATAAACTAAAATTACAAAAAAAAAATAAATGAATAACAATTTAGTTTAATAAGTTTTTTAAAAATGCCCTTTATTTGGAAAAACTTGCCGAGAAATTTAATTTAAATTTAATTTAAAAACATCTGCCGATTTAGTTATACAGTACTTTGGGTTTAAGTCAAATTTTTGGGTGATTGATGGATAATTTGCAACAAGTAAAAAAAAAATCTGACTCAAAATTAGGTCTTTGGGAATCAACATTTAGAAATTTGTTTTTGTACGTATAAGAACTAACTCTTAATTATAAAGAATTTAGTGATGACAGTATTTATAAGTGTATATATAAAAATGTTGTAAGCCTAAGTGGTAAAAAATCAAATAATTGTGTTGACAAGCATGGTTCATTTCAACTGAAAACCATCAGAAATAGAACAACCAAATTGATTAAATTAATTAAATTTACAAAAAAAACCAATTTGAGTTATCAACCTTGTCGTAAATCTTTCTCTCAATTTATTCAAAATCATTTTTATTTGAGGAAGGTTAGTTCTTGAGTTAAAAAAAATCAGAATACATAAATAATAATATTAAATTTGAATACTACAAAGCATTTACAAAGCAAAACAGCACTTAGTGTCGCACCAATCACTTATGCTAAATGCTTTTTTATTAGTTGTCTTGCAATATCTGTTAATCTTATGAACTATCTAAAAAAAACAACAAAAATTTAAAACATTCCTGTGAATAAATATTCTTTGGATAATTTTATAAAAAGGGGAGTTAATCGCAAATTATCTTTAATTTTTTTTTTCATGTATTTTTCAATTAATATTCATCAATGCATCACTTGTTCGGAAGAATTTATGTAAAATTATTTTGAATTCGCATACGTACATGTTAAACTTGAACCTCTGCATATAAACACTAAGACATTGTTGATAAATTTAAGAAATTTCTGAAAGTGTTTAGGAACGATTCAAGATTTTTATTTATGTACATATAGTAAAACTTTCGCTATAATTATGCTTCAGCACGAAATTTGTACATATGTGTGTATGTATAACTACATGTACCTCTTTTTTTAAACTAGTTAAAGTAAAATTTAATTACTTTGTTTTTATAGTTTGTTATATGGAAAAAAGTTGCTAGAAAGTCAATATTTTGTAAAATTTAGAGAAGATTTTCAAAAATACAAGAAAGAACAACATTTTTTTCCTTGTCCATAACTATTGTAAATTTTATGGTTAATAGTCACTATAATAGGAGTATTTACATACAATGTAATAAAAGAAAAATAATTGATTAAAATTGAATTAAATTGTAGAGTTTTTCATTATTACTTTAAAGGAGGAACGATTGTTTCAATTTTATTTTAGATAATAAGATGAATAGAAAAGGTTATCGCAATTCGAATTCCATCATTGCTTAAAACTAAATTGTGTCAAAATATATATTCCAGTTAATTTCAAGGCTGTAGATAGCAAAATAAAAAGCTATTTTGTTTTCGCCATAACTATGGTTCTTAAAAAATCTTAAAATTTCCAGTAAATATTGCGTATAGGAGAAATATCTTCAATTGTGTTTTATAATTTTCTATATTGTAGAATAATCTTGCCCTGCCAAGTACACGTCCAAAGCGAGTTTGTACAGAAACCGTTAACCGAAAAACCCTGTTAACCAGAACCAATAAATCTTCATATCTCAGTAATAAAAGATGGCAACTGAATCAAAGAAGTTATTAAAAAGACCAGTTTTAAATTTTTCTTGTGACCTGCGTTCAAACTTGATTACGCTTCCATTTTAAATTTTTATTTACAATTTCTATTAAACATTATAAAAGTTAGTCTTGACTCCTAATGCCATTACACTATTGCTTTTTATTTATACTAAATATTCATATTTGGAATTTTCATAAATCATCACCACTTTATAATACTGATAAATTCTGTGCTATTAGTCAAAAACCAAGTGAATATCGCGCGCACGAAATAGACGATTTTTTGCTCTTTTTATTATTTATGAATTCATTTTGTCGTGCTTATATCGGGCCAATTGTTTTTCCTTCATTTTCTATTCAACACTCCATAAAAGAAAAACAAAAAGAAAAAATATAAATTTATGCAAATTTTTTTTTATGAATTAATTATTGTTTATTTCTTTTGATGTCTCGCGAAAAATTATTTGTTAATCGATGATGATTTGAATGGCTTGAGAGAGATTTTTTTTCTGATTAAGATATTTGGAGAAATTCATAAATTAGAAGAAAACTATTACACACAAACACATACTTACATACCCACTAACCATATTTGTACAAGCCTAAGCATATGCAATTTTTGAGATGTGATTTTGCACTATGATTTTAACTTTTAGAATAAGCAAACAAAAATTATAAGAATTTTTTTTTAGTTGTTGAGAAATTTTTGGAATTATTATTGCGATCTAGTAAGAAACTGATTTTAATTTTCAAAGTAGCTTTACGTTTATTTGCTACCTATCGTATATTTTTAGGTTCAATGACTTTAGTAAAAAGTTGACAAGAATATTTTTCAATAAACACTTAATTTTGTTTGTTTTTGATATTTTTTATTTGATCCATGACCTTTATGAAAATGCAGTTCTTTTAGAATTAGAAATAATTTTATAATTCCGCGATACTTTAATTTAAAATACTCGGGATACTTTCATATGTTTCTTGACATTATACCTACAATAATTCTATAAATATGTATGTATTAAACCGAATCAAAACTAATAGCTGTGTAATTCAAACCACGCACAGTGTGTTTAATCGAAAATACCTATATATTAAAAAACATTCCAATCTTAACTGATTTTGAATTTTCAATCACTTAAAAATTATCTATAGCACTAAATTTTAATCTTCTTAAATTCCAAATAAGTTCAGTTCAAGTAAATTTGTTTTTTTTTTTTTTCAATCAACAATACTATTAATTCATATAATTTTAGAATTCTCACGACCACAACCGTGTACATAGTTTTTTTTCTGTAAATTAAAACTCACTTAAGCTGCCGCTTATTAATTAATAATTACATACATATTTTACGAGTCATTGGATCTTAATAAACTCACTAATATTGAAATTCAATCATAATTTTCTAATCAATTATAAAATTAGCAGAGTAGTAGCAAAATGTTTAAATTAAGAAAAAAGCGCGTATAATTTTTGTAATGAACTCTTGACCTAATTTAGGCGGATTGTTTTGCTGTTACAAGTATATAAACATTGTACATGTACATGTATAATAAGTTTTCGAAATTCAAAAGCGATCATCTCCAAAATATGTTCTTTTTGGAATTGTTTCAAAAGTATTTCTTTTGATAATTTTTATTTGAAGAGGAACGAAAAATGTCTTTTTCAAAAAATTATAAATATGAGGATTTGAGTATACATACGTGATTTTGAGTCTGGATAAGAAATTTTTAGAATCTGGATGTTTTTGCCATTCATTTAGATGACGATGCAATCCCGAGTGTAAACTCAAGAACCAATTACTTTCTAAGCATAAAATTGCGACCTAACCTAGTTAATTAATTGGTAAGTTGTTGAAATTGTAATGGATGTGGCTTTTTTTAAACGGAAAGAAGGTTTCCAGTTAAATTGTAGATTTTATCAGTTAATAAAATTGTTTGAATATTAAAATTTAAATAATTTTTATAATTTTACCAACTTTTGAATTTGCAAATTATTATTAATTTTTGGCAAGTAATCCTTAAAGTTTCATATTAGAAAAAATATAGAAGACTGAGAAAATTTAATTGAAAAAAATTATAAATCATCAATTGGAGAGTATAAGAATGCGGAAACGCTAATTTACGGTATGAAATTTGAATTTCTCCTCTGTTTTTCTGTTTGTTTGACTTTTTTTTCCTTTTGTATCAATGAAAATTTATGGTGTGAGAAAACTTTTCTTTAAATAATTTGTAAAAGTTTTAAGGAAATAAATCATTATTAAATTATTTTGATATTATTATTTTGATTTTTAGATAAGTAGAGTACTTAAGTTTTTCGAAAAACTTGATTTTATATTTTATTTATATGTTAATTAATCACCATTTTTTATGAATTGATTTTTTGTAAATTTAATTGGTTATTTTGTTTATATTTAATCGAAATGATCAGGTCAGAAGTTAGAGTTTCTCTAAAATAATTTATTTTGCCCAGTTGAAAATATGTGTGTTTGCTGCATAAATATGCTGGGTACCTTTTCTTTAATTTAAACACAATAACCAAAACATTGACTAGTATACGTTGATAGTGTTGTAAATTTTAATTGCACACTCCATAAAAATTTTTGGGCGAACTTTGGAAAAGAAATATATTATACATATATTATTTTCCCATTCTTTTTATCATAATACATATATGCTCTACTGACTGTGTTGCTTTCAAAATTTAATTTGTCATCAAAAATCACATCCAGATATCTTAATACTTTTTCTAATTTGTTATTTTCAATTTTAATAATCTAATTTTGTTTAAATATTCACGCTATTTAAACTAAAATAATCAAATCTCTTTTTATAGTGCACAGTTGTCGGTTTATTTTTAGTCCTTAAACAGTTAGGTGTCGGAATTAAAAGAATTTTGATATTTCAAATTTAATTTGCATGTGCCGCCACCAATATCTGTAAGAATTTTCAAAACATGATTCATAAAATTTATACTTAATTCGAAAAACAAATGAAAATCGGAATATAAATTTTTAGTAGTGCATTGCTATTTTATTTACGTAAAATAAAATTTAGACGAAGTTTACAAATTACTGGATATAATTTACTAATTTTACCAAAAAATTATTCAAGATCCAATTAGCATTTTAACAAAATACTTAATATATGACTTGTCGGTACAATATGCACTAAAATCAATATACGGAAATATGTAAACAGATAGCTTAGGTGTCAATACAATATTCTTATTTAATTTTAAAATTGATTGAAAGAAATTCAATATATTAAACATTGTTGATAGCCTACCGAAAAAACCGCAATTGCAGTACT